TGATGTAAATCAATCAGCATTACTGTACAACTGAATAACAACCACTTGATTTTTAAGTCTGAATTACTTATTTCAATCAGCAGAGTGAAATAGTTTTCTTTTGTTTTTAGCTAGATATGTATTTATGGCATACTGATCACAGATGCTGTACATACAGCAATTAATGTACACAAGCAAAGTATGAAAACCTCAAAACTGTACTTGACTACGTGTAGTTACATTCTGGTTTCATGTGGCTCCTTTGGCTCCACCCTGTGGTCACATAGTGGTCACTACTTTGTATGTAGCTTGTAAAGTTTATTTGAAAGTGGTTTCAATTTGCAATCACCAGCGTATTAAGATTCACTGTTTTCAGCAATAAGTCGGTATTTTCTACTGTCTTTAACATGTCTTTTCTGAGTTATCATGTGCTGTCCGAAATGTTCCAATCATTGTGTGTAAGGCTGTTTTCCTGAGATGAAGTAAATGCAGATGCAACACAGATTGTAAAGTAGGGCCAAGAAATAACTACTACAAAACTTTGTCACACACAGCAAAGGTAATGCCAGATTAAACCATGTGTGAGACTGACACTTAAAAACCACAGTTTCTTTCTTTCTGTTACTGCCACAGTTCCTTTTATGAAGCTTTCACAGCCCCTACGCTGTTTATTCACAAGAAACATGATCACTGACGGAGTTAATTAGTTACAGTAGTTAATCCCTCTTCATACGTTTTCTAACAATGATTTATTTCATTCTAACAAAAAGAAAAAACAATAAAGCAGTGCAGAACCTCAAATACTTGTTTTGTACCTATGACATCTGTGGTCAAATTTTTATGACGTTACAAGTGGAAAGAAGGTGATTATTGGAATGCGTTCATGAACAAAGTTTGTATGTGGGATTTGCTGGTTAGAAATCCCATTTTGTGCTCTTTTTCAGCACACCATTGTAAAACCTTTTTTTCCAGTGATACAGGTTCATTCAGGTTTGTAAGTGCATGCAGTGTCTTGCACATTTCAGATGCAAGACAGCAGCACTAGAAGTAAGTGCTGCTCAGCTGAGTGTCCTGATTGTCTGTGTGAGTGTTTTTCTTTATGGACAACCCTGCTCCCATGTTACAATTGTTGTTCTCACAATGTCGAGGTTTGCCAAGTCCTCTTTGTTTCTGCCAGCTCTTGTGCTTCCATTTCTCCTTTATTGGTTTCTCGAGGTTGATAGTGTTGTCCTCAAGTGACATTACACAGCCATCATTTGCTTTATAAATCCAATGTTGAAGTAGAGAGTCAGAATTTCAGGAGTCGAGACAGGGAAGAAGTAAATTAGTGTCCTAGTGTCAACAGCAGAACATGGCTGAATTTGTATCATAATGGCAACTGAGATTTTACCTCTCTGTCGCCTGCAACACAGGGTCACCCTGGTGATGAGGTTATCCAGGGGCCGCAGCGAGGTCATCCAACAGGGAAGAAAATCCCAGTTCTGCAGTCCAAGCGGCAGACATTCAGGTCTACGTGCCTGGAGCATGTTTATTGTTGCAACAGATATAATCACCATCATAACTGGCACACCAGTCCCAGTCATCGCCTTCCAGCCCGCCATGGAGAGGGCAAACACGAAGGATGGGAGCAGCAGGAAGCAGAGGAGGAGGTACAGAACAGCAAACCAGCGGTACCTTGATGTGTGAGTTCTGTTAGTTTACCCCTTCTTCAATTTATTGTGGAGTTTTATTTTATTTATTGGTCTCTTGATTTCAGTTCAATTTAATGTATAGTGCCAATTTGCAACAATTGACACAAGGCACTTTACACAATCAGGTCTAGACAGCACACTATTATAAGGAAAACCCAACAAGTCCCCACTGAAGGTCCAGCTTCTCTCCTTAGCCATTTTGTTTAGCCTGAGTGAAAAAACAAACTAGTGTTTATCATACCTGGCAGTGCATTTGCCAAGAGCACAGGCCATGCGTATGGGTAGTCGGGTGGCTGGTATGGGATACCACAGCAGGATACCAAGGAGGTTAAAGAAAAAATGACACAAAGCAACCTGAAACAAAGAGGTACGAATAAAAGATGTTGGCAAAAATCAAAGGAGTTGCTGACATTTTCTTTCAATCGACTATAATTGACTGATTTCAGCTAGATTCAATTATATTGAAAACCTTTTAAAAAATCCTGCCAACTAAAAACTAATTGGGACATACAGTAGGTCCTAAATGAAGCTTTGCTACGTACCTTTTATCATGTTGCAAGATGTTTTCCCAGTGTCAGTAGGTGTTTGCTTGGTGGTTGTGATGTCTTTGGGCGTTTAGCATCACTTACCTAAATGGCTGCCATGGTGTTGTTGGTGTCCTTACCTCCTGGGCAGTACTAAATGTTTTGTAGGTGATTTATGGGGTGTTTCAGTTGCTATATTTACTTTACTAAGTGTGTGTTTGCTATGTTTGCAAAGATACGAGGCTGTTGTTAAGGGGATGTGTTAACACTAACGGTGCTAGTGATGAGTTTCTCTCAGCACCAGCGGTGTTAGTGGGAGTAACAATTTTAGAAAGAAAAACGGAGACAGTTTGAACTCTTTCATCACAACAGACACAAACAAACAGTCTGGATAATTTTAGGACGGTAGAGAGAAACAAAGGTAAACTGAGATGGAATGCTTGAGCATTTCTGAAAGACTGTAAAAAAGAGACTGGGTTTGAGCACCACGAAGAGAGACAGGGAGCTTATGACTGATACATTGCCCTCACATGTATTAATGGCACGAGTGGTGACTGAGGCATTTTGTGGCTTGAAGTTTCTTGTGGGAACTGGAGGCTCTGTTCACCTCATGGTTTTACGAAAACCATGGAGTGAAAGGTTAGGGTAAGGGTTAAGTGTTAGGCAAGTAGCAGTTTTGGTTAAGTTTAGGGTAAGTCTTCTGGAAATGAATGTAAGTCTTTGTAAGGCCCTTGTAAATGATGAAAACAAGTGTGTGTGTGTGTGTGTGTGTGTGTGTGTGTGTGTGTGTGTGTGTGTGTGTGTGTGTGTGTGTGTACCTGTGTGGCAGCAGCTAGCTTATCTCCTGGACTAGCCAGGGCTGCTAGTATAGCTGTTGTAGTAGTTCCAAGGTTGGATCCCAGAGTTAAGGGGTAGGCTCTTTTAATACTGATTACACCAATGCCTGCAGATTCATAGTGTGATCATGATTCACAGCAGTTTTGCATTTTACAAAATCTACAAATTTGATTTACGAAACACTTTGCCAAATGACAAAACATTGTTTTAGTTTAAAGGCATGAACAAAGTCCTATTCATGAAGGAATTTTAGCAAACATGTTTAATCATATTCTGGTCAGTCCTGTTAATGCTGTACCAAGCTGGACGGAGCTGCATGTGGCTATAAAAACTGTGAGGAGGTAATTTATTAACTGTTGCAGTGAACAGCACAGGACATGTTGCTATAACTCTCAGTAGTAATATGTTTCATGTATAAAATGTAGAAAATAACCATAAGCATATAGCCTATACAGTCTTATGCAAAAGTTTAGGCACCCCTTGATAAATAACAGATTTTGGTGATTTTTTATTTGAACAGATGTTAACACAGTTTCTCTTGGAAATGGAAAAAATGCACAATATTTTCTGCAAACAGTGATGCATAGTTACTTCTTATGCCATAAATTGAACAAAAATAAAAAATAAAAACATGATTATGGCATGGTGCAAAAGTTTGGGCACCCTAAGAGTTCCAGAGTCTCAAAGTCTCTCACAAGGTATCAGACCTTAATCAGCTCGTTAGATCTGATGCACAGCAACAGCTGTCATTGGTAAATGCCAATTTCAAAGCTGTACAAATACTTTGACTCTTCAAACCTTGTGCACACACTTGTGGACACCCAGCAACCATGGGTTCCTCTAAGCAGCTGTGTAAGACCCTGAAAATGAAAGTTATTGATGCCCACAATGCAGGAGAAGGCTACAAGAAGATAGCAAAGCGTTGTCAGCTTGCAGTTTCCACAGTAAGAAATGTAATTAAGAGATGGCAGATCAGGGGAACTGTGGAGGTCAAGATGAGATCTGGAAGACCAAGAAAACTCTCATATTTATTACTGAGGTTATAGTTAAATGTGATGTTGAACTGGACCACATTATATTTAGAGATGTCTATATTCTTGTCCTCCCAGCTACATACATGAGAAGGTTGGAATATAAAGAAGTGTTGCATTGAATTGCATACAATTGTACAGATGTACCTAATAAAGCGGCCAGTGAGTGCATATTGTTGTATATTTATTGCTTTACACTTTTAATTTTGTGTTTTGGTGTGTTACCTATGAGAGGAGTAATGGCAGAGGTGAAGACAGAACTGCTCTGAAGCAAAAAGGTCATGCCTGCTCCCACTACTAGAGCCAGATAACCTGCCAGCCAGGAAAAGGGGTAAGGGAAATCTACAGAACAGGAGAGGAGAGGGAAACGTCAAAATCTGACCACTGTGTTGTCCTGTACATTGTCATAGCTAATATTAAAATTAAAAGAGCAAAATAAATGGAAAAGCTATACTTCAGGGCTTTAATATTCTTATATTGCAGTACCTGTGTTAATGACTTTATTAATAGCACTGGCCACCTGGCCCTTCATCAGAGAGTTGAGCAGTTTCACCAGAAGTATGAGACAGCTGCACATCACCAACAGGGAGCAAGCCAGGAGGATTAGGCCTATGGCCACATCTGACAAAGAGCAGTTCACGAAGAGATGCCTGCCTGAGCAGAGACAGTGTCGTGACACCGTGGAGGTTTAATATATACAGAGAACAAGATTGTTTGCATGCACAATGTTCAACTACCAAGATGTAAAAAAGGAAAGCTACTCTGTGAGAACAACTGCCAAATGACAAACATCACTAATCAGTGTTTAATTTGCATTGCATCTTGATTGATAGAAGTTAAATCTAGTGATTGAATGGAAAATGTACAGCAAAGGAGAGGTGTTATTCTATAGACGGAGTAAAAACCTAAAAATCCAAATACTGTAAAACTGACAAAATGTCGTACATTTCTGTGCATGTTCTGAAAGGTTGTGTGTTCCCCAGGATGTTGCATTGTCCTGTCAGCAATGATAAAGAAGTAGAGTACAGGCTGAGCCAAAGAGATCATGGTACAATTAAAAATACTGAACACGTATGCTAATGCAACACAGTTTGCACATTCAGTATGAGTAACACTACACAGTGGAACATACATGTGGGTAGCATAGCCATAATCAATCTGGTGTAACAGTTTTTGTTTTTTAGATAGCACAGTGTATTATAGTACTATCTGTAACGCAAGTAAAACAAACAACACTCCAGGGAATGGAACACAAGAAGCATCATGTTGTATTGTACCAGTACCTCTGTGGTTGTGATATGACACCAGTGCTTCACCAGACTCTTGTTCCTCACACTCTGGTCTCCTGTAGCAAGGGCTGTAATAACTGACTTATCCAGCTAGAAACAGAGAATCATGTCATTTTATTATTATTATGCTGTGTTAGAATTACAGTTTATTGCTGCCATCAACTGTCCACAGAGATGTTGCACTTTAGCCTTAAGGATGTTATTTGCTGCCTCTGTAAAAGATTGGTGGCCAACTTCTACATGTTTGGGCTGAGATTGTCACTATTATGGCATGATAGACCTTTGTTTTCATAGTGTTATAATGCCTAACTGTGAAACTAACTTTTGCCGTTAACTTTATTTCTCCAAAGCTGCTTCCTTCACTGCTAGGTCGGGGTGTGTAAAATCAATTTTATTCCAGTTTCTCGATTTAAAAGGAGGATGTAATGTTTGCTAAAGCTAACTGTTTTCTTTCCAAGGTGTGCTTTCTAGGTGTCCACTCTTTAGGGGATATGCTTCTTTATATGTCTTTAACAGTAGAAATAAACAGTTCCTGTGATAATGTTCACGCACAGTACCTGGATAATCCTCTTAGTAAGTGGCTCAGTGAGGACTTTTAGAAGTTCAGGAGCTTCATCTCCAGTACTGAGCTGTAGTGAGTCGACGGCAGCCTGTGACAGACGCCTCAGTAAACCACTCGCAGCTTCCAGAGGAAGAAGCACCAAAACTGACAACCAGTTAAAACAGTCATGTACTGTAGCTCCAGCAAATGCCCTAGAATAAACACAATTTTCATGTTTTATTTTTAAGTAAACATGCTAATAATGATACAGTATAGAAAGCTCACACAGACAAAGCAGTACCTTTCAAACTGCTCTCTGTCCCCAGCCTGCGTTAGAGCAACAATGGTATTGGTGACCGATGTTCCGATGTTGGAGCCCATGATGATGGGAATGGCTGACTGAACATCCAGCACTGTACAGGAAAACAATAAAATGTGTGTACGTAGATTTTTTTTTAACTAGTCGATCGTGAAATATGTAGTGTTTATTATTTTGTTTAGGTCTTGTCAAAGTACTGGCATTACACGTCTGTATTATCTGTAATTAACATTGTAGAATTGTTAATACTGTAACTCACAACCAGAGGAGACGAGGCTGACTGTGATGGATGTAGAGGTGGAGGAGCTCTGGACCAACACTGTCACCAGTATCCCCACCACCAGCCCTGCTACTGGGTTAAACAGAATGGTGTTCTGCTGGAAGATATCCCCTGCTACCCTTCCTAGAAGGGAGAGACAAGCAGGACCTCTCTGAAACACAGTATATTTTGTGAGTAACAAAAATGGATAACTGTGCTTACCTCCAGCTAGTTGGAAGGCAGAGCTTAAAATGTCAAGGGAGCACACGAAGAGGTACAGGAGCAGGAGGAGGAGCGGGATTTTGCACAGAGCAGATACAGCTGCTTTCACTCGCTGTGGTCTTGCCTGAGTTTCCATAATCTGATCCTGGAGGATGTTAATTATGGGTAATTGAAGCAGAATTTGTAGTGCTTATTATTCATGGTGGTAGTAGAAATTGTAACTAGTAGTAGTATCTTAAGAAGTGGTACTGTAGTATGAAGAGTGGTGAAAGTACATGTGATAGTATTGTTACTGAATTATACTTTTATACTACCACTACTTATGAAAGACTATAGTAACAATACTATTATATACTAACAATGTAACAAAGAGCAAATATTTGATTTAATATTACTTTTACCATAAACAGTGCTGTGATCAAAACACAAAGGAATTGCAGAGCAAAATTACTTGCGGTCAGTGCTGCTTTAAGTAGGTATTTCTAAACCAAATGAAGGTACTATATTATTAAATATTTTACCTTACCTTGGCTTTTGATGAAATTGTACGTCTGCTTCAGAAAATGAATGCTCACTTAATGTAGATTGCAGCTGATAGTAAGGAGAAAGACAACAACCAGCTCTCTCTATCTCATATGCTATTTTTTATAGTAGAGGAGAAAAGGAAAAGACAGACAAGATGGTGAGGGTGAGAAGAGAGGCAAAATGAAAGGGAGGTGCTACTATATAGTACAGATTAACTCTATTAGTAGAGCATGGATGACTGATTGTACAATGGAAAGCTAAGGCCATTCCTCCTCCATCCACCAGATACAGGTATGTGGGATCTACGTGGCTGCTTTCCTGCTCTGTGCATATTTACACCTCCACTAACTACTGACACAAGATTTGCTCTACATTTGATTTATCTGATAAACTACTGATTCATCAGCATCTCTCTCTCTCTCTCTCTGCAGGAAGGTCTTGCCTGTCAATGTTTACCTCACTGGGTGTCTGCATGTGTGTTTTTCCTTTGGTTATATGACACTGCTTTTATTTGCTTACTTATTTAAGGGAAATCTTTGTTGCTATTTCTCTGCTTGACCTGCTCTACATGCCTCTCTGATAGTGGGTTGTACTTATCACCTTGCAAGAAAGGTAACTCACAGTCATTTAGTGTTGTGGAGATTTTTTTTCTTGATGATCATTATTGGGTTTTTTTTAACAAGAAAATGCTCTTATGGTTGTAACCAAAGAAGCTGTGTTTAATGTTGTCTTGTTCTGCATTTGCATGTTGCAAGTTTTTATTACTCAAGGTTTTTTCTGAAGGAAACTCCTGCATGTGGCCTACAACTGTTTGACATTATCATTATTATTTGGCATGAACTTATGTTTTGTTGTTACTATCATTGCACAGTCTTCTTATTTTACTCTTCCTGCCCATCCTTGGTCCTTATTTTGTATCATCCTGTTCTCTTTGTGTATTTAGTCTTAGTATTAGTATCTTTAAATGGTAAATGGTAAAATGGACTGTATTTATATAGCGCTTTTATGCACTGGCCAAAGCGCTTTACAGGAAGATTATACACCATTCACCCATTCACACACCGATGACGACAAGGCTGCCACCACACGGTGCTAGTCAAACCACTGAAGCCACCGGGAGCAACTTGGGGTTCAGTGTCTTGCTCAGGGACACTTAGGCATGTGGGGAGACCGGGAGTCGAACCACCAACTTGCTGGTCAGGAGACGACTTGCCCTACCTCGTGAGTATTTAGTATTGTCTTAGTCTTTCTTGTTGATTTACAGTAGGTGCCTCAGCGTTGGCTTACTGTCTGTGCATATACACCACATTATCCTACTCCCTGATTTGTATTTTTCATTAGTGTGTTCAGTTAAGTTATTTGGATGTACCTGTTTGTTCAGTTCTTAGTGAACTTAAAGAAGTCAGCATTTTTAGGATGCTCCAAAATCTTTCCAGTGCACCAAACACAGCTTCTGTAGGCTACAGTGAGCCAGCACACCCTTCAGTACTTGTTCATTATCGTATAAGGATTCTTTTCAAAAGAAATGTTAATATTGTGTTCATTGATTTTACTTTTGTTTTATTTGACTCTATGGGCTTAACTCATGGTAGGTCATGTGTGTGATATATTTGATGTTGTCATTATACAGTGCCTTGGAGTTGTGCCCGTGTCCATTTAACGTCCAGTGTGCTGTATAGGGATTCAGTTTTTGCACAACAAGAGAGACATGCCTATAGCAAACTTAAATTGTTGCAACTTGTCTTTGTGGTCCAGCCTGCTCCTCCAGTCTATTTAGGTGTTTCCATTTGTTGTGATGTGCTTGTCATACCAGTTGCATTGGCATTGGCTTCAGGGAGGAAACAATTTCAGTGCAACCCCAGTGTCTCTATCTCTGCAGTCGGTCCTACAGGACAACACAGAAGACTGTCTTCAGATTCTTAGATGTCCAGGGTTGTAGCATGTGTTGTGCTTGGTACAGTTAAACATATTATGTTGTAAATATTTCTACAGTACAACAAGTTTATGTATTTATCTACATCAAAGTTCAAAGTGTTTATTTTGTCATATGCACAGTTAGGAAACGTGTTTCCCTGTACAATGAAATTCTTACTTTGCCATCCACATGAATGCCACAAAATACAAATGAAATATAAAGTAGATAAATAAGTAACACAAAATGATGCAGCTGTAGAAGTTGCAAAGGATCCTAGGCGACATGCCAAACCTCCTCAGCCTCCCCAGGAAGTACAGCCGCTGTTGGGCCTTCTTGACCAGCTGTGTGGTGTTAAGTGTCCAGGTGAGGTCCTCATTGATGTGGACACCCAGGTATTTGAAGCTGCTCACCCTCTCCACTTCGATCCCCTGGATGAACAGTGGCCGATGAGGTCTCCTCTCCTTCATGCTCACTATCATCTCCTTCGTCTTGTTCGTGTTGAGCCTGAGATTATTGTCCTTGCACCATGACACCAGACCTGCCACCTCCTATCAACCAACCACTCACTCACTCACTCACTCATGGTTTGTGGAACATAAAACAAAGGCACCCTTCGTGCTCAAGTTAAACACACTAAATATACCGGGAGCCACAAGGCCGCACTTACAGAGTTTCAAAGCTGTGAAAAACCACAGCTCTCTCCATTCATTGCTATTGGGGATTTCATTCACTGCAGAGGCTCTGACAAAACAACCCAATGCAGCAAAAGGTTTGATCTGCTTAAACTTTTGCAGCACCATATGGTGACATCATCCAGCAAAGGCACTGCGTTAAACACAGCAGACTACTCCTAGCCCTCTAACCTACTAAGCAGGTTTGAGCCTACTGCTTGATGCACTGTCAGATATTTAAAACAATTTATTTTATTTCAGAGAGTGAATAAATGACAGAGGAGAAGGATAAAGGTTGCAACAGTGGAAACAAAAACAATAAAAAATACAATATAATCATTGTTAATATAGGTCTATTACAATTGATAAGCTAAGCATTCAGTTATTCCACTGGATAGATTGTCATAAATAGCTTGTGTTAAAATTTACTGTGTGATGGTTATCACATACTACTACTGCTACTGTGTTTATCAGATTGACTACATAGGCAAGTCTGTCCATACATGTGAAAAGCTGCATGCTTGTAATAATTGTATTTACTATATTTATTTATTTATGGCAACCCTGTACATTTAAGTGAATGTAAATTGTGTACATGAGGTTTTCATCCTATACATCTGTCACTAAGACTTTTACTGTACATGTTCAAGAATGTTACGGAAACAGTATTTGTTTTAGCAGTTTATTTAAAAACACATATGTATTGCCTTACACTAGTTTACTACAAGTTGCTTTGTATTTCTGTCACAATGTGCAGGAGCTGAAATCTTGACTGGTACTGTGAGTCCTTTATTCATCTGTGGGCACATGTTTAGGCTTTGCTGGCTACATGATGCTGCCTCTCTTGGCTTTTTTAGGGACTGGAGCTCTGTCCTGTTGGCTTTACTTCTGGCTGGCCTGGCCTGCCCTCCCCACTGGTGGTTAGGTAATTGTATTGCATTCTACCTCTTTGTTATAATAATAACAATAAAAAGGTTATTTATTGATGATCCTTTTGTCAAAGTTTATTTCAAGGGAAGTAGACCTCTCTATTGCAGTAAATATCTGTTCACATTTCTTCTGTCTTGTCAGTTATCTGTAAAGCACTGCAAATTGAATGAACCTGTATGAAAGTTTCTATACAAATTACATTTTCATTAATTGATTGGCAAATCTCCAAAATACTCACTTGACAGTTGTTAATAAATGCTGCAACAGACCAGCAAGAGTTTCATGGTTCACGTGCTTGTTGTGGACATCTAATCAGCGACTGGTCAGATAACTAACTTTTTAACTTTGTAATTTATAACCCAACAATGATAAGAAACGGTGTCAAGATTTGGCTCAGGAAACTCAAAATCTTGTATTTGTGTGAAAAGGGTGACAGCTTTCACTTTAGTGTTCATTTAAATTATGCAATCATTTGTTATCACAACCACATTCTTGTATTCTCCGTATCTATGATTGTATTATAATTATCTACCCAGCTCACAGCAGTAAAAGAAATCTGAGTGGCCTTCGGAGAGTTGCATGAGACATGTGTTATCTCCTACAGGGAGTGGCTAACTGGGAGGAGGCATGAAGACGTTATTTTTTTTGTTTTCCTTTTGCGGTAGAAACAGCAGTTGTGGAAGACATATTTTACAAGAGACCATGAAGGATTATGATGACACCATAGATTTCCTGGGTCAGTGGGGACTTTTCCAGAAAACCATTTTCTTCCTGCTCTGTGCCAGCATGATTCCCAATGGCTATAGTGCCTTCTCTCTTGTATACTTGACTGACATTCCCAGTCACCGCTGCCTGGTTCCGGATGTCAACCTGACCCAAGACTGGCTAAAGGCTATCATCCCGATAAAGGTAATTAAGATTCAGCTTTGCCACCTTGTTTTCTCACAGCTGGCTGGAGGAATAAACGAACTAAGCACCTGTTTAGGGACATGTCGCCGCCAGAGTGCGCCCAAGAGCGTCTGAAGTCTCCCACTATGTGCACGGTAATGGTGGTTAAGTGCAATATGAATCAAGCACAGTCTATCAGACTAGTGTTCGATTACAGGGAAAATCTGCAAAAAGGTAATGTTGCAAAAAAGAACATATCCCTCTCGAGCAGAGAAAAGAGACGAAAACGAAGAATGAAGAAAAAACTGCAAGATAAAGGTATCCAGTATTTGCGTGACTAATTATAGTATTTTACTTTAGTGGAAATCTACAAAGCGGGCATAAAATGTACTTTCCACCTTGCCAGTATTTGCATTTTTACAAAAGCTGTCCTTGGGTATCGTCTTGGGGATTTCTAGTTGGGGAAAATAGGCCGTTTTGTTGGGCCAGCAGCGCACAGACCAAGTCCCAAGTTTAGGGTTACCTTTAGTCTGCAGACGCTCCTTAATTCCCCTACAAAAGTCAAATGAACAGCCCACAGCCCCTCTGCCGCTTAATACTAGGGCGATATTTGTGTCCCGGTATCTGCCTGCAGATGAACTTTATCACTACTTAGGATCACGAGTGACAGTATAACTTCCTGTTCACATGGATAAATCAATCGCGCTCATATTACGTCACTCTAAAAAGGCCTGTTACTGCTCCTCCTATCTAAATATTCATTAAATGACCAGTAAGGTCCACTTTTAACCCTATAGTTCTCCAGTCTACACATGCAAAGATAGTTTTAAAATGATATGCACAATACATTTATTTCTTCTTATACTTGCATATATACTGTATAGGCTGTACATTACTCTATTACCTTAATATTAACAATCCTACGGTGATAGAGTTAAAGTGTGTTCAAATGCATAATTAAAAGATAATTCAGATTGTTTATGTTAATACCTGGTCATGATTGAACTGCACACTTAAAGTCTGCAAAGGCTTTTATATTTCTTGTGCAGTTACTGCAGTTTTCCCATGGTCGTTATTGTTTTACAGTGGGTACGGAAAGTATTCAGCCCCCCTTAAATGTTTCACTCTTTGTTATATTGCAGCCATATGCTAAAATCATTTAAGTTCATTTTTTCCTCATTAATGTACACACAGCACCCCATATTGACAGAAAAACACAGAATTTTTGACATTTTTGCAGATTTATTAAAAAAGAAAAACTGAACTATCACATGGTCATAAGTATTCAGACCCTTTGCTCAGTATTTAGTAGAAGCACCCTTTTGAGCTAATACAGCCATGAGTCTTTTTGGGAATGATGCAACAAGTTTTTCACACCTGCATTTGGGGATCCTCTGCCATTCCTCCTTGCAGATCCTCTCCAGTTCTGTCAGGTTGGATGGTAAACGTTGGTGGACAGCCATTTTCAGGTCTCTCCAGAGATGCTCAATTTGGGTTTAAGTCGGGGCTGAAATGAAATGCTGTGTGTTAATTAATGAGGAAAAAAATGAACTTAAATGATTTTAGCATATGGCTGCAATATAACAACGAGTGAAAAATTTAAGGGGGTCTGAATACTTTCTGTACCCACTGTATACCCAAATTTGTAGCTTTGTAGTTGATTTTAACACATTGCCTTACATAGAATGGCATCATGTTCAAGGTGCCACCTTCACTGAAACCCAAATTTTAATACTAATACTAATAATTTTTGTCCCATTGTGATTGAGGTGGTGAATGGGAAACAGGAGGTGAGCGAATGCAGCAGATACAGACTGGATGTGGTCAGAAATCTCTCTGCTCAGGGGTACAGTCCTGGCAAGGACATCAACCTCACCGACCTGGAGCAGGAAGGCTGTGTGGACGGGTGGAGCTACAGCAGAGACATCTACCAGTCCACCATCATCTCTGAGGTCAGTGTGCATGGTGGTACAGGAGCATCAGTAATACTGGCCAAAATGGATTGCTCCAGCTTGACATAAATGCTCATGGCATTGGCATGGGTTACCTGTGGTCCATACATGTAATGGTTAATTGTTCATGTATGGATATTCTAGTTTGACCTGGTGTGCAATGAGCAGTGGAAGCAGCCTTTCACCTCCACAATTTACTTCCTGGGAGTTCTGGTTGGATCTTTCGCCTCAGGGCAGCTCTCTGACAGGTACTGAAAACATCACCTCACAATGAAATGGTGTACTTAGTGTAAATGTATATACCAAATTGCATAGCAGAATATCATCATACTTTAGTTGTTGCCTAATATTTTTTGCTATCATGAAAAGTCAGTAGGATTCTTATTTTTCATAGTCAGTTTTTAATTGTTGTTCTTAATTGTAAATTCTTACTGAAGATGCTCTACTTTGGCCTAAACAAAACAGATTATAATCACATCAAAATAGTAGAATGAGAGACCTTTTCCTCAGTATGAGCTTATTTTATAGTATTGTCTGGTGTTTTAATTCTATATTGCATGTGATTTCCAGTCCAGGAGAAAGATGAAAAACATCGCCTTAATGATCACTGTTGTTTGTTTTGCTTTGTTGGTCTTTTTTCACTTTTATTTTTATGTTTGACTTCTTACCCTAGATTTGGAAGAAAGCCTGTTCTCTTTGCAACCATGGCAGTTCAGACCATTTTCACTTTTGCTGCAATCTTCTCACCTTCTTGGACGGTTTTCGCCATCCTCCTCTTCCTCAGCGGTTTGGGACAGATCTCCAACTATGTATCTGGTTTTGTTTTGGGTACAGTTGAACATTTGATGCTCTTACAGTATTTTACATATTAGTGTAAAACTGTCATTTTGGAAAATGATGGAAATACAAAGGCAGCTGTGTATCTTGATGGTTCTTGTTTATTATCTCTGTGTTTCTTCTCTCTGTATTTCTTCCTCTCTCTCTGTGTGTAGGCACTGAAATCTTGACCGGCAATGTGCGGGTCCTGTTCTCATCTCTGGGCGTATGTCTGGGCTTTGCCGTTGGCTACATGATCCTGCCCCTCTTTGCTTACTTTTTAAGGGACTGGCGATCTCTCCTGTGGGCTTTGTCTCTGCCTGGCCTGCTCTACCTGCCCCTCTGGTGGTAGGTTGTACACATTACAAGAAAATGTATTTACAGTAAGTTTACCTTACCGTGTGCCATAAATGTCATGATTTTAGTCTTCTCAGGGGAATAAATAATTTGGCTCTTTCTTGAATACACCCTGTTTGTTGTGTTTAAACCCCTCCAATCCATCCTGAACGCCTCAATGTTGAATACTGAGGCAGGTTTATTCCAGACTCTCCTCGGTGGCTGCTCTCTCAGGGAAGAGTGGCAGAGGCTGAGGCCATAATAAGAGATGCTGCTAAGAAGAACAAAGTCGAGGCACCACAGATCATCTTTGCTGAATACAATGTACGTTTTCTTTGACTTAAACCATGTAGGATTTCACACAGGAGCAAATGCATGTGAGCAATGTAAATGTATATACCAAATTGCCTAGCAGCCTATCATCATACTTTAGTGGTGCCTAACATTTTTAGTATCAACGGGGTCCCTGAGTCAGTAGGATTCATCCTCTGTGGAGCATTGTCTGTACAAAATTTCACGACAATCCTTCCAGCAACTGTTGAGATATAGCAGCGTAGCATGACTAAAAACAAACTGCTGGTGAGCATTAGGTCTTGTATCTTGCAGGGTGATAATACAGAGAAGCATCCTAATGAGCATCACAGTATCTTCAACCTGCTGAGGACCAAGAACATCAGAATCACAACTGTCATTCTGAGCATGTTGTGGTGAGTATGTCTGATCATGTACAGGTCATTGTCCAGATATTTCACTCTCCAAACATATAAGACATCATTAACAGTTACTTATTTACATAGACTTTGGTTCCACATACTCCTTCCACATGATTTAGTAGCCTTGAGAATCACATTCTTAAATATCCATTGACACTCACTAACTAATCACTGCTACAAATTACAAGTATGAATTTCACCTGAACTCAACTACTTTTTTTATTTTATGCTGTTATTTTTGATCCCACTCATACCATGCATGCTAAGCTGTTCTGTCCAGACCTACAGTCAGTCTGACAGCATTGGTTTGCAGCTGCTACCACTGTATGTGCTATTAAATGCTGTTTCACATCTCTGTACCCCTGTCTTCACAGGTTCACCCTTAGTATTGGCTACTTTGGCCTGTCTCTGAACACATCCCGACTGCATGCTAATCCCTATATTAGCTGCTTTATCTCAGCAGCTGTAGAGGTGCCGGCATACATTTCCAGCTGGCTGGCTCTGCGATACATTCCCCGACGAATTTCTATCATCTTTATCTTGCTGCTTGGAGGACTGTCGCTGTACTTCATTCAACTGGTGCCCCAAAGTAATTAGAACAAAATGCTCTAAATGTTGACAGATTGGGATTTCTCAGACAAAAAAATATATTTGCTGCCAGAATACACACGCTGCTGTTGGAGTGTCACCAATCGGCACATATTTCAGATGGCAAACTGCATTTCCAGGCTATTTATAAATAACATTCACATTTCTGCATGTTGAGTGTCACACTAAACATATTCCTTCTAAGAAAACACTGCAAAATCACATACAGAGGCAAATCTACTCAAAACTGGCAGACCACGTTATTTGCACAAAATCTTGCAAGGCCAAACAGAAACTGGCAAAAACCAAGTACTGCACTTTTACAGAGGCACATCTCTGCCCACATTTCCCTGTTGAACACATGGGACTGTATTTTCAAAGCTCCTCCAGGGAAATCCACACAGGTACTGTGGTACCCGACATGTCTAAACACCTGCACCTATTGTTCTTGATGTAAACCCATGTGATACATCAGTACACTGCCATCGCCCACAAACTATCCATAAGCCTTTAGACCTTTTTAATGTTGAATTGTTAAGAAAAAAATCTCCAAATACTCACTAACACGCATTAACCCATCAGGTTTATCAGATCTGTCTGTTGCACTGGAGATGCTGGGAAAGTTTGGTATTACCACTGGTACAGCCCTGATGTTTGCCTACACAGCAGAGCTTTACCCAACAGTGCTGAGGAACACTGCGACAGGGGCATGCACTACTGTTTCCAGAGTAGGAAGCTGCCTTGCACCTTTTTTATTACATCTGAGTGAGTAAACGTGAGCAAATAGTAATCATCATCATTTGTTTAACCTCGACTTATCTTAGTATATGGACACATTTCAGTAGATAAGCTTCTTATTTTGCCTATATGGAGTTTGGATGCTCTTTATACACTGTACACGTGCAGGATCCAGGTGTCTTAATTTCATCATCTCTTTGTACAGGTATATACTTTAAGTACCTTCCCTATATTACAATGGGGACTCTGGCTATTATGTCTGCCTTTGCCACTCTCTTCCTTCCAGAGAGTTTTGGTCAACCTCTCCCTCAAACTATTCACCAGATGCATAGGAGACCCAGGTGAGAATCTTAAGCTTCTTCTATGTCAGTCTTATAATATCATGCAAACGATGTTTTTAGATCCTTTATGTGGATTTAAGTGTCTTGATGCCTGGTGGTTAGCTGCAAAAACCACTTTACTCTTAAATTAATTGAGAAATTGTTTTATAACCTAAATTAACAAGTGGAAAAGTTAATTTTCAGATATTCCATTTTAAATAGTTCACTGTTGAAAAAAGGTCAAAATAAAAAAGATTTTGTGGGAAAAAAGTGAGTAAGAATAAAGTAATAATCTTGACTAATAAAACTAAAACTGTTGTAAGAATAAAGTATTTTTAAGTGGTATTAAGTTGTGTAATAAAAATGTTTAGAAAACTATGAAACATAGTCATATTTTAAGAATATTATGTTTTAAAACGGTATGTCATGTCAAAAAGCTGTATGTTTGTGTGACCTGTCCTAGCCTTTTGCCCACTACAGGCACCATTACTGTAGACACGCTTTATTGATACTGTGCTTAAAACCACCTTATCTTTCTGACAAAGGTCTAAACTATATTATTATATCAGGTGTGCAGGTAAGAAAAAAGAAGGTTTTATGATTTGTATAACCAGAGACAAAACAGAAAATGCCAGAGTCCTTTAATATAACCATAACCATTACCTTTATTATCATTATCTTCATCCATCATGTGTGATAATGACAGTGAACGTACCTATTCATGATGGTGATAAAGTTAGTAATGAAGAAATGAAATGGAAAAAATATAAGTTGCAGCTTTTAATTTTCTTATAGTTGATGCAAAACACTAACCCACATGTTTTGTTTTGTGTCTTTTGTCCCAGCAGCATAAAGTGTCCATTCATCCATAGGAAAGGAGACTCAAAGCCTGTGGTGCATTTCGAAAGTCAGCTCTGATTGTATAAAACACTGCTTATGTGAATTAATATTGTGTAGTATTGCTACAGTACTTACTAGTTTTACTATTAAAATGTTTTATCACGAAACAAGTAAAACAGATGACATTCATGACCTTTTTCTTAGAGGTGAATTAAAGCTTGATAGAAATACATATAACTGAAGTATGACCAGTTTGAAGTCTGTTACACTGCTATAGTGACCAGTCGAAAACGGTACCATTACAGGAGCCCTGTAACAAATACCGCCATACTTGGAAAGTTTTGTTTCTGCGTTGACTTAGTTCTGTGGGACACTGTGGGACTGTACTTCAGTTTGTGTTACATAATCACACTCTTCCTATTTCATTTATGTATTTCATTGAGGAAATAGAAACCATTTCACAATCTGAATCACATTTATTGGCCAAGTATGTTTAAATACACAAGGAATTCAACTCTGGTACAGCGTAAATAAACCAGTACCATGAAAATGGTGTGCAGCCATTACATCTTTTTAAACTAAATATTCTTTCACCAAGGCAGTGTTTATTACAGGGCTGTTAAGCTGCGTTTCCACCAGAAAGTCCCTGGTACTTCTTATTTCCAGGAACTAAAGTCCAAGAAGTGTCCCTGGGGTAAAAGGCCCTTGAACACATTGTGATTTGCATTTCCACAGCAAAGCCGAAGCCCAGGGAAGGTGAGCAAATTATAGCCCACTGATGTAAAGTCACGACAGTCAGCAACAGGGTTGTAAGAATGCGTCACAGAAAAAGTTTGTTATGGTTAACACACAGGACAGACTGCAGGCAGTGCTGAAATTATCACTTTTCTGCAAGTTTATGCTCATTTAACAGGTGTTTTTTTTTTATCACAGAGGTTTTATTGCACATACAATAACGAGCATAGGGGTTGTTAACTCCGAGTAATGTTTTGCTTCAGCCCATGTCATGCTGTCCTCTGTGGCCTTCGTCTGCTGTGCTCCATCCTCGGTCAGCCACCAGGAGAAGCTGCTCCATAAACACCAAAACAATCTTTTCCAATCCACTAATCTCACTCACTGGTTTCTTCATGTAGGCCTACTGACACAGTGCCCCTTACAAACAGAGGACCTAAGGAACTGAGAGTAAGTTACATCGGTGCCTGAGTGAAATTCCAGCATCATGGATCCCTCTGTTTGACCAGTCAGGTCTTGCCCTGATAGTTCTTGGACCTTCAAAAAGTACCCCCCCGGTTTCTGCTCCCTGGGTAAAGTTCCTCTGGTGGAAACGGAGCTTTAGATTGCGTTAAAGTGTACAGAACTGTCTACCCATCATGTCACTCTGTACATTTTATCTTGACTCACAAAGATGTATACAAAATATTCACTAGAAATAATTTATATGCACATGTTAAATGTGAAACATGATTAATGTGGTTACTGGTTCTGATTAATTTGGTATCAAAATATTAGAAACTTTGTTCTGTGTATGCACTGTTAAGTTTCCAAAGGTTACACAGTTTTCATCATTGCAACAATGAACAGCAGTATTATGTAAGTATGGTAACAACTGCATAGAGAAGCATTATTAAACTCTTTACAGTATCTTGATGCTGTGTAACACAAAATATTGCTTCACTTTGGTGGAGATGACTAAGTTTCTGTTTGTCTGAATGTCAAGTTGCATAATGTCACATATTCGGTGAAAAAGCAATCGTTTTACCTGACAAACGTCCATTTAGCACAGATGTGTTAAACAGAGTCGATATTCCAGTGTCTGCCTTAGTGCTACGCCTTGTTCAGCTGACAACCCATAGACTTTCGTTCAGCCTTGCTTTCCTCTTTCTCACTGCGTGCGAGTACATAAAGCCTCTTCTGACAACACCTAGAGAAAACAACACAATGATGCAGTTACAGATATAACTCAGAGACACACAACAGTGTCGTCCAGGCCTGGTTTTAAACTTCCTCTTCTTAACTATTACTTGAACCATGAGCTGCTTTTTTGCCTTCAGGCAGAGTTGCATGCAAAGATTGATATCACTGTTGTGTGTGTGTGTTATATGAAGCTACAGCCAGAAGCCACTTATCTTAACTAAACACACAGACTGCAAATGGGGGACACAGGCAACAAAATCCACCACCACCTCTAAAGTAAAACTGTAATTTTCTATAAATCTTCTCAACCTCTTAACAAGAAAGAGCATTTTCCTTAAAATATCAGCTTATTCCTTTCTGTTCGTTTGGGTCTGTTACAGTGGGTTCTTTAATGAACCTGTCTGGTTATACATAACTGGGTTTATGATTGATAGCAATAGCCAACAGAAATGACAGTGGTGAGTGTAGATATGAGGAATTGACTGTAGGCTGACAGAAATTACTTATTAAGCAAATTTAACTTCTCACCTTTCTACAGTCAGTTGAGTTCAACTACAGTTTTAAAGGGTACAAGGGCAAATGGTTTGGTGTGTGTGTCAATAACCAGATATGCTAGGGTGGCAAGCTAATATAAAGTTGACATAAAGCCTGAAAACAAACTGCCAAATTTGTAATAATCCCATTGTTTAGGAACCATCGTGACAGGGAAGTGTAATGTTACCTGGGCAAGTGCTGCATGTGAGTGATTGTGTCAGGCAGAGGCATTCCATAGCTCTCCGGCAGCAGGAGACTCAGCAACGCTGACAGAGCTGTGAGGCCTCCAATGAGGATGTAAGGCAGTGAAATGGAGTAGCTTCCTGTGGGAGCACATCAAAGGAGAAGACTGGGAAACAGTCTTAGCTACAACGGCACCATAGAGCAGTTAAGGAGACAAAGTAGAGAGACCAAAAGGTGGTTGATGTGACTGCATCAGTAAATCCAAACCACTTAACAGTGGATGTCTATATTTTAAATGAAAGCTGGCTGTCTGTCTGATCTGAGTGCTAATCAGGCCTGCTTTTTTGTTTTTGCTCTAGTGAGTTTGGTTCTTTTGTTCCTGTAGAGGTACCAGCTGCTTGCTGGCCTCTTGTTTCTAATGAGGCTAATGCAGTAGTAGGGGACCAGTACTAGGGAACCAGAACAACTACTCTTAAGAACTAAATTAGGGAAAATGTCTCATTTGCATTCTTATTTGCATTTCAACCACCTCTGAAGAACTGTGACGACTGGACAGAGGCGGAGAGTCTTGCAGCTGATCCCCCACATACATGAATAGGACAAGGAACAAAGATAAAGAATGCCATTTTGCCATCTGAAGTTTATCCATGTAGTATTTTAAGTCAAAATATGCCAGAATAGTGGTGCTCAGGGGCAGTAAGGTCAAGAGAATGTTAAAGGCCACAAATTATGTTGCTAACAAAGTAGATGGAATCTGTTGCACTTCATGCACGTACAAAAGTTAAAGGATTAAAAAAAAACTGCTGGACATTTAGTATGATTTCCTAAATTCTAGTTAGATAGCACTTATCTCACAGTAATCAACAGGAAACTTGATGTGATGGGACAAACATCAGCAGAAATAAGAGCATTCTTACTTAAGTAAATTAAGTATGGAGCAGTGATGCTGCCTATTCTGGCAGCCATGGAGCAGGCACCAACAGCTGTGTTCCTCAACACAGTCGGGTAGAGTTCTGCTGTGTAGGCGTACACGACTGCATATGCTGTAGACACTGCAAACTTCCCTATCATCTCAAATGTTATGGCTAGAGAAATCAGGTCTAGAGGGAATAGAATATAAAAGTGTTCCAGGTTATGAAATTAAACATTTTCTACACAGTGTGTTAAAATGAAAATGTCTCAGGCTGAGTACATCTACATATCTGTTTCTCTTGCATGTGAGCCAGTAAACAAATGACTATTTAATGATAAAATTATGGTATGTAATAATAAAAGAATAAATAAGAATATGACAGAAATCAAAGCTATGCTGATTTAATGTTTAAAATATGTCCACTGAAGTGTCGTACTTGCTGGTATGAACTGTATGAAGAGGAGAGACATTCCTCCCATTAAGAGGGTTGAGAAGAGACTCGGTCGTCTGGGACACCAGCGAAACATAAGCCATGACAAAAAGTAGGCAGGAATTTCTACCACAGCTGATAAGAAGCAGTTGAAGTACACGT